CCCCCTGCTGCCGCCCCCCCCCACTGGCCCCACGGTGGAGGGGGCTGCACCCCCACCCTGGATCTCAATAAAGTATCAGCTTTCAGCACCCATCTCTGTGTTTGGGCCCTGGGCAGGTGGGTGGGGGGTCCTGGGGGGCCCCAGCGTGGGTGCTGGGGCTGTAACAGGGGCAGTGGGAAGCACCCTGGGGTACACAGTGGGGGGGAGGTTTGGGGACAGGGGTGTCCCTTGTACCCTGCACAGCCCCTGCATGGGCAATGGGGGGGCACAGGGGTCCCTCCCCGGGGGCTGTGGTGGCACCCTGACAGCAGATCCCATGGCCACCCCCAAATCGGTGGCGTCACCCTGTCCTCCCCTTACTCTGCCCCTGCACCCCGACCCTTCCCATCAGAACCCCCCGTAACCGCCCCTCACCCCGCCCCTCGCACAGGCTGGAGATGGATGGGTGCTGCAAGCCAAAGGTTTATTGGGGTGGGGGGTGCAGCCCCCCCACCGTGGGGCCGGCTGGGAGCAGGGAGGTCCTGGGGGGGTTGCAGAGGCCCCAGCAGCCCACATGTCCCCAGGACCCATCTTGGGGGGGGTGGGGGGTGTCACCCCTGGCACCCAACAGCACCTACTGCCCTGGTGCCCACCCCAGCCCCCCCCCTCGCTGGAAGTGTGGGAGCTGCGGGGACCCAGGGGAAATGGGGTGGGACCCCCCAGACCCCCCCAGCCAGGTGGCACCTGGTGAGGGGAACACTGGGGACCTGGGTCAGGGGGTCACAATGGGGCTGGGGCACCCTGGGGACGGGGCTGGGGCACCCAGGGTGGGCATTGGGGACAGGGTGGGCAGGAGGATCCCGGTGGGGGTCCCGGTGAGCCCCTCACCCAGCTGCGGGTGCTGGCCCCAGTGCAGATGAGCAGGCTGCGGGTGGGGGCCAGGTTCCTGCGGTGACACTGGGCACACACGCACTGGGGGTCACAGGGGGCAGGGGGTCAGCAGAGCGGCACCCAGAGGGCTATGTCCCCTGTCCCCACTCCCCAGGCACCCCAGCCCTAGTGTCCACCTGGGAAGCCCTTGTGGGACATCCCTGGAGCCCTGTGCCCCTCTGCCACCCCTGGGGCCACCCCATTCTCCCCACATCCCC